AAAAAGCGAACACGAAAACTGCAGTTCACCGGTAACAAAACTAAAGACACCAACATTCTGCCTTCGACACCAATACAGAAACCAGAAGTCAGACTGCATTAAAGACTTTGACTTCAATACGCAAAAAACTTTCACCACTATAGGACTCCCTTGACTTGATGACTCTGAGTTCGACAGAACATAAGACCTCATGACATTACTAACTTCCTATCACTGGCTTTGAGAGACATGAAGACTTGAAATCTTTAACTGACTTCATGACAATAGCTTTGAGAGATGTCAAGACTCTAACAAACAAGACTGACTTTACGACTCTTAGTCAAACAAACATACAGACTCGATGACTAAGACTGACTTTGTGATTATGACTTTCAGAATTTAATAACAATTACAGCAGCTTTAAATTTCATTATAATTTTCTTTTTATTTAATAAACAAAAGAAAAAAAAAATATAATAAATAAATAAATACAATATTTTAATAATGAATTTTTAGTCGACGTTTCGACAGTTAATCTGTCATTTTCAAGACCAGATGTTAAGTGATTCATGACAAAGAAATATAGAAGAAAGAGAAAAGTGATCATCTGTAGTATCTCCAATCAGAAATCCTACAGATACCACTACCATGGACGAAAACAGTGTTATGAGCGCTCATAACACTGATTCTCCCCCTATTGGTAGTGCATCTATCGTTGATTTAATCTTGACTTTTGGTTTTTTTGTTAGTCCCTCAGGATATATTATTAGTGGTACTGAACAAATTGTTTTATTTAGAGTAGGTTTACTATTACAAATTAACAATGATTCTTTTACTAACAATCGGTAGTGTTTATTATCTTTAGCAATAATATTACAATTTTCCCAATCTATTTTATGATTATTATTAATTTCATGTTGTTTAACTGCTGAATGTGTTAGATTGTTTTGTTCAAAATCAATTGATTCATTTTGTATCTTTGGAAAATATTGTACAGTTTTTCCTTTATTTCTGTCAGATCGTCTAAGATTATTAGAATTATCAACTACATCGAGCGATTGAGATTTATTTTCTTTTTCTTTCAAGAAATTAGCTCCATGTTCTTGAAGTCTTCTTTAGGTTTGTCGAATTGTTTTGCCTATATAGGTAGATTCACAATTAGAACAATCTAACTTATAAACGATATTTGATCTAAGTAGTTTAGGTATTGGATCTTTAGTTGGAAAATATTTAGTTATAGATGAAGATGGTCGTTGAACTGGTTGAATGTGTAATTGTGGATTTATGGATTTTGCCAAGTTAATTATTCGTTTCCCTAAGATTTCCGTTGGTTTACCAAAAAAGGGAATATCAATGAAGACCTGCTCTCGTTTTATCGAATTATCTTTATCGTTATTTGTTTTATTTTTTGATTTATATATTTGTGTTCCATTGATCTTATCAAAATATCTACCTAGTGTTTTCCTGATCTGTGCTTTTATAAAACCTTCTGGATAACCATTTTCGATACCAATAAATTCTATAAATTCAAATTGTTCATGCATTAAATCATAGGATGAACATATCCTGATTGCTCTATAAACCATGCTGCTTATGGTACTAACTTTATATGTATGAGGAACGAAAGAACTCCATTTGGTTATTAAACCAGTATATGTTGGTTTTCTATATATGGTAGTGGCAAATGATTTAGAAGAAATTTGTGTATTATTATTAGTAGAAATAATAGTTGGCATGTTACTTAAATTGTTAATTGAATTACTAGTTGAAGCAACATTTGAAATATTAAATGATTTAGTACTTAGATTATTTATGGAATTATTAAATACTATATTGTTCGAATTAACAGTTGAACTATTCAATGATTTATTATTGGAACTAATTGTTAAATTATCAGCTGCTTTATTATTTAAATTATTAATGAAGTTTTTTATTGAGTTATTAGATAATTTATTATTTGAGTTATAAAAAGATTTATAATTTAAACTAATAGATGATTTATTATTTGAACTAACCGTTGAATTATTAGATGATTTATTATTTGAACTAAGTGTTGAATTATTAGATGATTTATTATTTGAAATAATTGTTGAATTATTAGGTGATTTATTATTTGAACTAGTTGCTGAGTTATTAGATGATTTATTATTTAGATTATTATTTAGATTATTGGATAAATTATTAGTTGAAATATTATTTGTTGAATTATTAGATAGAATATTATTTAAATTATTTGTTGAATTGTTAGTTGGTAGTCGTGTAATATATATGTCAAGAAAAGGTAATGAGTTATTTACCTCTTCTTCACATGTGAAAACAATACAATTATCAAAACTGTTGAGTATATCAATTATCTTATTTAAATCAGCATCTTTTTTTATAATAGCAAAAGTATCATCAACGAAACGTCTCAAGTACAGCAAGCCATTATTTATTAAACGTGACATTAATTTATTCTCAAGATAATTGACATATATATCAGCAAACACAGGTCCAAGTGGAGAACCCATTGCAACTCCATTGATTTGTGAATAGATCTTGCTATTAAAGATAAAATTTGTATCTTGTGTTGAGGTGTCTAATAAATATTTCATTTCAAATCTGTTTTTACATTTTTGACACCAATCATCTCGTTTCTTATCACTATATGTACAGGTATGTTCTGGTCCATACAGTTTATCAAGAATTATTTGTATAGTGCGCTGTAATGGAACATTAGTGAATAAGCTGGTGATATCCAAAGACACCATTTTTATCTGAGAGTTATCAAATTCTAATGCAAGTAATTCATCTACGAAAGCAAACGTATTAGTTATGATTGTGTCATTTTTTCTTAAATGGTCTAGTTTATTAGCCAATAGTTTGGCTAGATTGTAATTAAATGTACCTGAAGCTGAAACGATTGGTCGAAGTGGTGCTCCAATTTTATGAATTTTAGGTAAGCCGTATATTCTAGCAGGCTGTGAGCCAGTTGGGCGACAAAAATTATATTCTTTTTCAGTTATAAAACCATTATTTTTTAATTGTTTTAGTTTACGTATTAATCTATCTTCGTGAGACATGGTTTCAACAAAATTCAAAACTTTAAATGTCTTATGATCACTTAATATTTCAAGCATCTTCTTATTATAATCGTCTTTATCCATAATTACTATTCTCTTTCCTTTATCCGGTCTTGTTATTTGTATTGAGGGTGGGTGTGGGTGGGTGTGGGTGTGGGTGTGTGTGGGTGTGGGTGTGGGTGTGGGTGGGTGTGGGTGTGGGTGGGTGTGGGTGTGGATGTGGGTGTGGGTGTGGGTGTGGGTGTGGGTGTGGGTACAGAGAATCATAAAATCAACACCCACACCCTCCGTCATGAATGTTTGTCATATCGACAACAATATCTAATCTATTACCATCAGATAGCATTTTACTGTGGTGTGTGGATCATCGAGCTACTCTTTCTTGCTCTTTCATTGGGGTGTGAGTGTGAAGTATGGGATGTGGGGTGTTGGTGTGGGTTTCGATGACAGAATAGTCTACACCCACACCCACCACACCCCACACCTCACACCCACACGAGTCCTTTTGTACGTGAAGTCAATTTGATCTATTTTAAAGTACTTAAAGCTTATTTTGACGTACATTAAGGTAATTTAAGCTACTTTCAGCAACTTAAGCTACTCTGAGATACCTTAAGCCACTTGAAACTACTTTAAGTTACTTCAAACTACTTCCAAATTTCAAATACTTGAGCTAATCGGCGTTCTGTTAAGTACTTTTGTTTATTTTGATCTTAGTTAGTGCATTTGGAGCTACTTCTATGTAATTTGACGTACTTTTCTACTTCAGGTACGCCATTTCTGTCAAGGCCGACCAGTAATTCCAGCCTCTCAGAAATGCCATCCATGCTGCATATATTTCATAACAGTTTCTAATTAAAAAATGTCATTATTCAATTATGAATAAGAATATCAGATATTCCAGCTACTTTTAATTCCAAATATTCTAAATCAAAATATGTGATATTTGCAATCATTGGTTTTAAACATTCCATTCTAAAATTTCCATATAGTTTTCTCAAACCAAACACATATTTATTCGTAGCACTAAAATAAATTTTCATACGTTTTATCAATAATTTCTGAATAATGTATACGCAATGAATAAATACAAGTTCATATATATTTTGTATTTATTGATCATTAAGCCATTTTAATATAACACTTAATAGCTCTAATAAACGTTTATTGGATTATGACATGATATATAATTAGTTAATAATATTTCAATTATTGAGAATTCTATTGCATTTTGTTTTGATTTAATATCTCGATCAGATATTAATCTATATATAATTTATGTTGGCACATATATATGCATTCTTGCCATGATTTACTTAATTTTTAATGAGAACTAAATTTAAATTCATCACAGGAGAACTTTATATGTACAATTAAGAAATAAATATTCTAAAATACGTTGTATTCATGTTGAATTAAGTTCACTTGAAATTGTTATTGACTTTTATGATAATAATATAACAAATGTATCAGTAAGAAATCTATTTAAATGTTCAGTAGGGTATTGCAAACATATGATTAAACATATGAATTATTGGTGTTAATCAAAAACGTGAATAAGGTTTAGACACTGTATGTGTGTGAGTAATAAGATGCATGATAAATAATTTTATATTAAATTTTATTGTTGAATCACTAAATTTTTTATACAAAAAAATCATTGATATCGTACATGAACGTAAATTAAGTTCATCCATTTCTATTTTGGTGTGGATGTGGGTGAAGAAGACATCAAAATCTCACACGCATACTCACACCCACCTCAACAAGATAGTCATACTTCTGGAATTTATTGCAAAAAAAGTAAATTAATTCAAAATGAACTATTACAAAATCAATTAATTGATTCATTCATCATATACAAATATTATGAATTTAAATCCTTTTTTACAAAAACAAAAAAATAAATCAATAGCAAATTATATTGAATTATCTTTAGTGATCAAGTATAAAAATAATTTAACTCAAAACAATACAAACATCCGAGCCATACTCATTTCTAAACTCAGCAAAGCCCAAAGCCAGACCATTATATGCCCAGGCTTCATTATAAATAAATATATTGACGTAATGATTGGAAAATACAGTCTTTAAACTGTTACGAAGTCGAACACATCGTGCTTCATTATCTATTATACCTTTTGTATCATAAACAAAAGGAAATGCTTTTTGTTTGACAATATTATCATCGATAGAAACTCCAGAAGATTTTTCTAATTTGAAAACTGTCAACCAATCTTTATTTTCTAATTGAACATCTAGCAATTGAGTGCCATAAAACAAACCATATCCACCAGATGTTCTGAGTTTGCAAACATACAATGCATCATTTGGATATGCCTTTTGAAAATTTCTTGTAATACTTTCTGCAGTAACAGGCATTCTAATATAAACTGATGAAATGATTTAGATCAATGTTGTTCGGCTTATGTAATAAATAATACAGTGTATTCCAGTTAGTTGAGGAAACGCTGTTCTGCCGTTAAAACGATGTTTAATGTCACATCGTTTAAACGATGATATATTGACCAAATTACGCGCTTATCACAAAAAACGATTTTGTATGTCATAAAGTAATATTATGTTCTTGTCGTTTAAAATTCGAATTGTAAATGTCATAAATAGTGATTTGTTGACGTTAAAACCATATTTTTTTATTATTTCATCTGTCGTAAATGATTCTTCACTTGAAAAAAAGGTTTAATATTCAAGAATCATCTTCGTCTTACTTGTAACTTGACCATTCATCTAATTTTATTAATTTGATGATGGACAATACACTTTCGTTCTTTTTCTCAATATCTCAATACATTCCAATGAGTAGGTCTCATTTTGTTTTCGAAAAAGCATAAGTTAAATCTTTAACAAGTTAAAATGTTTATTTAAAAAAATGAAAGTTCGGCATCTATATAACGTAAGACATGAGTAGAAGTCTTTTCTACAAACTTTTCTTTTTGTTTTGATATTTTGTCAAAAGGCTTCTGCTCATGCCTTATGTTTTAAAGATGCATGAACTTTCATTTCTTTAAATAAATATTTTAACTTGTTGAAAATTTAACTTCTGCTTTTTCGAAAAAAATGAGACCTACTCATTAGAATGCGTTTAGATATTACAAAAACCTGACTACACTCTTTCTTCTGATACATCGATCGTTTTTTAAAGTTTTTCTTCTATACTCTTCGTAGGTAATTAGAAATTTGTCGATCGCTCAAGGATGATGTGTTTGTCTTAAATCTGATAAATATTCCATTGAAATCTTCTCAAGTTTTCGTTATGAATTCTCAAGTCTAGTTCATTCTAATATCTATGGAGAAATATATAATTAGTTACAAAGTTGTGATTTATGATAATCTCGATGAATAATGAAAGAAGAATCTAAATTAGTTTATTAGTATCAGATATGTATGTGATAATGAAACTTAGATTTTTAAGAAGAATTAATGAATTGATACGACAAACGAAAGATTCTAGGGGAAAAATACTCTCGATAAAACAATGTCAATTTTTTGGTATATTTTATCAAAAGAAAATATTGAATAGCAACACTATTGACGTACTTCTAAAAGTTATTCATTGTTGAGACTGTTTTTTCTCATTCTTTAACAGTCGTCTGTCGTAGATAAAAAATAATTTATTGCTACAAACGTTAATAGAGCAGCTAAGTTTTTTATTTGATTACTGTAATCTTTATGACTTACGCATATGTATCATCTAGTTGTTCTTTTAAGATTTATACTGAAAACGGAATATATACTCAGCATTATATTCTTTTTATGGTATAAGAGTTAAAAAGTTAAAGTTTCTCCGCGTAAAAGTTTCAATCGATGACGAACTCAGTAAAATAACAAGCTCTAAAATGAAATCATTAATGAAACTAAGCTATTTACCATTTTTTCAACTTATTTATTAAGATCAATCACTGTAACGTTTCGTTCTAACTAAGAACATTATCAAATACAAATAAATAGATAGAAGAAGAATACATATAAGAGTAAAATAATGTTTATCTTTTTCCTATTCTATTGTTTTAAACATCCTAATACAGACGGATCAATTCTACTCCCCCGTGCATTGAAATTCTTAAAACAATAGAATAAAAAACGATGACATTATTTTACTCTTATGTATATTCTTCTTCTGTGTATTTATTTGTGTTTGATAATGTTCTTAGTTAGAACAAAACGTCACACTGATTGATCTTAATAAATCAGTTTAAAAAATGTTAAATAGCTTAGTCTCACTAATGATTTTATTATGGAATGCGGTGCTACCAAATGACAAATAAGTTCTATATTATATATTTTTTCTACGAATATCGTATTTTGTCAACTATCTCGATGGAATGTACAAGAAAGTTTTCCACAAATACTATCCTAAGAAAAAGCAAAAATAAACGCAGAACGTAAGGTGAAACTAAATCCTCTACATCGTTCAATTCTGAAGACTTCTTCTATTAGAGTTATCTGAATCTTTTTGCTCATGTTTTCTAAGCTCGACCAACGGTCAATGAGAATCCTTATTCACAATTCGTATACAGTAAATATGTGAATTTCTTCGTAATCTGAATAGTATTTTAGATTAAATTCAGATATCATTCATGTATCTTATCTTTGTGTGCATTCATGTCGCTCGCAGAATTGATGTTTACTTATTGAGCAATCTTCATCGAATGAATGAATGAATGAATGTGCTGGACAAATTTATTTTCTCTTTTGTCCCTCTCTAACTTTATTCTTTTTTTCCTTCCTCTTCTCTGAATTTTTTCTTTAGCTTCTTGACGTAAGTTTTTCTTTTCTTCCCTTTGCTTTCCTGTCTCTCCAATTTGATTAAGATTAACAATCAATTACTAAGCATATGAGATCCGTTCTGTTTATGCCACATACATTTGTCGAATATATATTAACTGAAAATATTACTCTCTTTTGACTTGGCTAGAGTTTCTAATTGGATTATATAGCTCATAATTAATAATGTTGTATTGCTTGTCATAAAACGAGTTTCAACTAGCTCATATATTGATGAGTTGATAATTTGTGATGAAAACTCTAATGCAGCAATTTTATGTTTGAGAATATTAGGAACTTATAATTTATCGTACGTTTCGAGCTTTGAACATAATCAAAAAATTAGGATTTCAATGTGAAAATTGAGACTTTAAATCAATAAAATCAACCTGTATTTTCTCGATATTCTAATGTTCGCACCAACACATGATGTTGATTCATATGATGTCAATGTTATGCGGATTCTTACTTTAATCAAAGGAACTCTTTTTCACATAATTAAATCTACAGCGAATACTTTTTTGAAATAATTCAGCAGATCAAAAGATAAATGGAAGCTCCAAACGGACTAAATGTCTTTCACGCGTAGTGTGAAACAATCAAAAACACAAATTCACGAGAATATAAATAATTATGGGGACCAGTCCCAAAAAGAAAGATTAATCTACTTTGAGCATTTACAGCTGTTTTCGTTGAAAAAGATGATCATAAACATTTCTCACTATCTTTTACGAAGAAGAAAATGACTTATATAACCGTTTCAGAGACTATTTAATGTGTATAACGCTTGGAAACGCTGACGAGATGTAAAAATGGCAAGAAAAGTGATGATCACGTTTTTTCTTGCCGTTTATCACCGTTTTCTAACAGAACGGATGATTATGACAGTTTAAACGGCATTTTCAGCGTTTCACTTCTTCCTGGGCACACCAACCCCCACACCTCACACCCACACTCACTCCAACACCCACACTCTAAAAAATTTCCGTATTCTAGGAAACCGACAGGGGTTCGGAAACCCAGTCGAAAACCCTTTTCCGTTTCCGAGAGGGTTTTCGAAGATTGAAAGCGTTTCTGAAAATATCCTTTGGGTTTCCGAACGTTCGGAAACCCAAAGGTTTCCGACAATACTCAATTGAACACTCTAAAAGTATTCTAGAATATCTTTTTCTTGCTTTCGGAAACCAAATAGGTTTCTCGAAAATCGGAAAGGTATTGTCGAAAACCCATATTACTAGTAAAGCTGGATTCGTACCAGAAAGGGTATGCGAAAATACCTTTTCATTTCCTAAATGGTTTCCGAAAATACCCTATGTGAAAAATGGTGTGGGTGTGTGTGGGTGTGGGTGTGGGTGTGGGTGGGTGTGGATCAGAGCTGGGCAAGTACGAGTACGTTTTTTGTGGTACTCGTACTCGAGGGTTTCATACTCGTCCTCGTACTCAAAAAAGTCTGTACTTGCCCAGCTCTGGTGTGGGTGTGGGTGTGTGGGTGGGTGGGTGTGGATCAGAGCTGGGCAAGTACGAGTACGTTTTTTGTGGTACTCGTACTCGTACTCGAGGGTTTCGTACTCGTACTCGAGGGTTTTATACTCGTCCTCGTACTCAAAAAAGTCTGTACTTGCCCAGCTCTGGTGTGGGTGTGAGTGGGGGTGTGGGTTGGGCTGGGTGTGGGTGTAGGTGTGGGTGTGATGTGGATGTGTGTGCACTGGTATGAGATGCCGGCATGAGCGCTGTCTTGTCGTTATTCAGAACACACACCTACACCCACTCCCACACTCCCATCCACACACATCCACACCCACAGCGACACCCACACACCCATTTTCTTTGGTACCCTGCGGTGCCTGTGGGTAAGTATTAGGTACTCCTGGGATATCTATGGGTAAGTATGGGGTATCCATATGGTAGAGAACTGGAGTTTACAGCTGTGTTGATGCTTATTTTCTGCTTGCCAGTTATGTAATCAAAATTTCGCAATCCGTACGAAACCATTTCGTTATATGGGAAAAGATGGTTTCGTATAAATTACATGTGTCGAACATTTTTTGGAAATTTTGAGTGGAAGGTGTCTTATGAAACTCTTGTTCGATGTAACTAAAAAAGCATCTTACCGTGTGTCAAGGTTATGAATCTTTTCAGATTCTGTAAAAATCCGCTTGTTTTAAAAGTACATACTCTTCGTAGCCGTCGATCATAAAACATTATAAACTGTAATCTTCATTATATGAGGCACCTGAAAGAAAATGAAAGAGGTACATGGTTTTTTCCCACAGGGCTGGATTACTGAAGCTACAGAAAGTGAAAAACAACTTTATGGAGGGAACAGCACAACCAGCACTAAAAACTGTATTTTATGGTTGTAATCTCTATTCAACACTGACAGATTTATGCCTATTGTGGTTATATTTAAACGGCGTCTTTTTCAGTCTGATATTTCAAAGTATTTGTCGAAACGGTAACGAACTTTTGTCATAGACAAATTTCTTTTTGATCAAAATAAGAACGTAAGTAATTAATTTTTCTTTAAGAAAATGTCGTTTTTCAATAAGACAGCTAACATAGAGGAGTATATTGTAGGTCGCTTGTAGAAAACGGGT